TAATTCCTCATTCTCTATCATTTTGCATTCCAATTGCTCTTTAAATGTGCAACACCCCCCCCAAAATAATGGATGGTCTTGTCTCTTTCAGCACCTTCCCATTTATGTGTCTCTCATATTGAAATATGCTGACAGTCTGGACCAATTACAACTCCTTAAAAAACCTACCATTCATCACATATAAAACAATTTGTTTAATTAACAATGTGAAAAATAAGGAAGGAACTTAGATAAAACTTAAATTTCATGTCTTCATGCAGAGATAGATTTAAACTAACCTACATCACTCTTCCTGAAGTCATCTTTGCCATTTTAAACATGATTTTGTTTTTAAACATTACTTGAGAGCAGAGTCTATTAACTTAGTATATGACAGGACAGAAATAAAACTTAGAAAACAAATAAAAGTGCTCTACCTCTTCTGGGAATTCCTCACTGACAAGGGACATAATTAGTGATGTCTTCCCAACTCTGGCTGCAAAAGCATTAAAAACAGATATTAGATATTTTGTTTTGTTACACTTAACATTGCACCCCATCTTAAAATGGGAAGATTTTAAAAACATTTTCCAATTCACCACATTAAAATCTTTTAAGCTATTGTTTAATCATATTAAATATGGACAATCATATTAAATATGGACAACAGCAATTTTCTCATCATTTTTTTATTGCAAAAACTTGGGCTCCATCTCCCACTTCTGTATTTCCTCCAGCAGGGAAGTGAATTCTGCTCTGCTTTACACAGAAAAACTGCCAGGTTTTAACCTAAACACAGAACACTTAAACAAACAAATAATCAAAACAAACTAGAAATGCTTTAATACAACTTCAGAAATACAAAGAATGCAGTCAGAAAAGCATGCAGAAATTAACTGTTTTTATAGAATTCTTGAGATGATAATCCCTAAAATCCCAAGGATGAGAGCTGGACAAGAGGACAGGAACCAAGTCTGCAGTACCTTGACAACTTTAAAAGTGCAAGAGCTTAATCCCTTTGATACAAATGAGCTGTCCCCCACTAAAAGTGAAAAATACCCCAAACCACCAACCCTTCTAAAGTCACAGCTTTCTCAGTCCAAGATGATCATCTCAACTTCAGTACCCAACACCATTCAGTCAAATAAATTACTTTGTTTGCCTGCAAAGTTCAGACTTCTGCTATCACAACTTGGTTGCTTTTTTTGACCAGCTCTAATGTGACCATTTAAAACCAAGAGTTGGTAACTTCTCTCCGGGTTCCACTCTCTCTAAACCTCCTGATCTATGAATTTTCTGGCCCTCTAGAAGCCCTGTAGGACTATTACTGCTTTATTTAGTTTTGAGACATTTCTTAAAAACCAAAATGTTCATATTCAAATACCCTCTGGGACTGTCTATTTCCAACACCTCTCAATTCAAGCAAAACTCATTTCAGCCTGGATGCAGCAGCCCCCCTGCCAGCAGGAATGTGTAACCAGCCAAGGCACTGCTCCCCAGTACTCAGAGCCTGTGTCACTGCTCCTACTGAAACCCACAGAAAATGGCACCAGGGGACAGAAGGTGTGCAGCTGATATCACTGCATTTCTCTGTTTAACTCTATAGAATTCTGAATGTGGAAGATGAAGAGGTGTGATTTGTACCACTGGCTGATTTTGTGCAGGAATTGGTGTTACTGAACTGATGATCCAGTCAGAGTACACTCATCTTATCTAGGCCTATTTTTGGTACAGTAACATGTTCTCTGACATCCAGAAATAAAACCTTCTCTTTAACTGACCATGAGGAAGAGTAGTTGTAAAAGAATTATGAAAAGCAAAGAGAAGCTGTTCTAAGGAGGAAGATTCCTGTTTTCCTTACAGAGAACAGCTGCACACTTTTCCCCAGTGGTACTCCCTGCAGAGCAGCAGTTGCAAGTTTCCCAACAGCAGTGCAGTTGTGCTTCCATCAAAGATACTCCAAGGAGATAAAATCCTAACTTAAACTGCCAGGCATCCTCCTGCATCAACTCCACCTTAATTTTCATCCTGACAGAATCAAAAGAGCTTCAGAAGCTCTCCTACTTCCACAGGGAAAAAAGATGAGCACTTTCCTTATAGGTAAGTAAAGTTACTAATTAGTGAAAAGAGTGATGTGTGTTTTGCACCTGACCAAGACAGTTCTAACTTCAAATAGTGGCAAAACAGGTTTTGCAGATGTAGAAACCCAACTTCTCATGACTGAAAATAGATTATGTATTGCTGGTGAGTAAACGTTCAGTATTTAGAAGCTCTTGATACACTTTCTAGTGTCCTAGGTTTTATGAAAATCCATAGGTTCTGGTGTAGAGATCTGGGTTATTTTGTTCAAATCTAGGTCAACCCTCTGCCTTTTCCAATCTGTTCAGAGTCTTAGAAATAACAGCCTAAACAGTATCAGCTGACTGGGATGAAGGAAAGCAGCACAGCACTTTATGATAATTAATTTGTCCTTTTCCTCACATACAAGTCTTTTACATCATGCTGCATAACATGCTGGACATATTCTGAAAATTACTGGCTATTAAAAATTGATGTTTGCACCCAGCATATGAGGACTAAACCAACTTAAATCTAAACTGTGGACCACTGGGAATGGAAAAGGCTGAGTTTTGGAACAGGCTTACAATAAAGAGTTCTTGGCATATTTCAGATTCTGAACCTGTTCTGCTGTTACCATTAAAAAGTGTTATATGGTCTGGACTAACTTGTGGTTTCAGACTAATAAATACACATGAGACACATACACAGAGCAGGACTGGCACTGTAACTGACAAGTTTCACCAATTTGTAAAACACATTTGTCCCTCCTCCTCACTAGAGTCAAACAGAAGTGTAACATAGCAATGCTCACAATCTCTGATGTGTGCATGTAGTACACACTGCTGTATTTAAGAAACCTGCGTCTTTAAAATTCCCTTTGGACACACTGTGACCCTTGCTGCCAAACAAAGTACCTGTTACACCTGTGCTGAAACCACTGCACACAGCCAGCCCAAAACACAGCCTTGCCAAAGACAATGAGGTAAATCAGGCATGTATTCTAAAGAGGAATTAAACTGTGCATTCAAAGGCATCAATTCCCAAACACAGTCATGCAAAACTAACCAAATACAATCTTAATGAGTTAGCTCTTTCTGCACAGTGACAGCTCCCTCAAGACTCCTCTCTGTAAGTTACAGAGAGCCTTTCTATGCAGTACAGACAGAGCCAACCTGCACTATGAAACAACAGCAAAAACTGCACTATAAATATATATGGGGCATTCAGTCCTCAGGAAAGCTTTGTTAGCAGTACCACATTCTTAGTATAATTGGTAATTTTACTAATAACCCTTGGTAATTACTCTGTATTCTTTTCCCTCGAGGAACTTAAGCTCTCTTTGCAAACTAACAGAACCTCCTCTCTGCTATTTATACCGATGAGAAGCTGAGCCTCTGTGAGCCTTGTCAATTATTTGGGTACCTAAGCGTGAACTTCAGGACACAATTTTAAGAAGACATGAAAGAATCCAGACCCACAGTACCTCTGGCATGCACCTTCGTGTGCGCTGTTTATCCAAGGTCACACAGAAAGTTAAAAGCAAAAAAAGGGATACGGACTCTCTGGCCCTGTCCTGGCGACAAACCCACAACAGCCGACCTAGAACCCCTGGGAGCACATCAGGCCACTGATTTCCAAAGTCAGTAAATGGGAAACGTGCAAGTGTGATTTTCACATGGGCAAAAAAGAAAAATGAAAAAAAAAAAAAAAAAAAAAAACAAAAAACCAAAAAACAAGAAAGAAAGAAATAAAGAAAAATAAAAGCAAATGTTTAAATCGGCCGTGGCCAAACACCAGGCAAGAATTTCACCTCGGTGTCATCTCCAGGGACGTCCAAGCTGTACAATTCCACCAAGGGCCGGCCGTGCTGGTGCCCGAAGCAGGAGCCGCGGGGCTCCAGGCCGCGCTCCGAGCGGTCACGGCGGGCCCGCCCCGACCCCTGCCCGCCCCGCCGGGCCGCCTCTGTCCCGGGCTCCCCGCCCGGGCCGGGCTGAGCCCCGCAGCACCGGGGCGGTGTGACAGCCGGCGGCCCCCATCCTTCCCCGGCCCTCCTGCCTCGGCACTCACGTTCTCCCACCAGCAGGATCCGCACGTCCTTCTTCATGGCCGCGCTCGCTGCCCCCGGCCCGGGGCCGCTCACATCGGGCGGGGCGGCGGCGGCGGCGCCGCTGCGGCCTGGGCTGCCCGGGCTCCCGTCACGGAACGCGGCGGGCGCGCTACGGCGGCTCGCGAGGGACCTGCCGCGAGCGGCGGCTGCGCGGCGGCTGCGCGGGGCGGCGGCCGCCCCTGAGGGCGCGGGCGGGAGGCGGCAGCTCCCCCGGGCCGGCCGCGACCGCAGCGAGCGCTGAGGGACGGCCCGGGGCACCCGGAGCACACCGGGATCACAGGATCAGTGAGGGTGCAAAAGATCTCCGAGATCATCCCGTCCAACCTATGGCCAACACCACCGTGTCACCCAGCCCGCGGCACCGAGATCCAAGCCCAGTCCTTCCCTACACCGCTAGGGAGGGTGGATCCAACCCGGGCAGCCCGTCCCAAAGTTTAATCACCTACTCAGGAAATTCTTCCCAATGTTCAAATAGTGACACAGAGGGTTCCCATCTGCACTGTGTACTGTTAGGTGTGGTGTTGCTGTGATCCAAACCACAACAAATTGCTGTCCCTGGGCACTAGGGTGCAACTGGTATGTGGGAAATTAGGGATGTCCAGCGCCTTCAGGCTGTTGCTGTTTTTTTCCAGATAAACCAGCAAAGGACACCTCAACACTACGAAGGCAGTGGCTTTGGCTATCCCAGGAAAGCCACCGCAGCCTTGGAGATGCTGAATGGCACACCCTGGGGTCTTACAAATGTGCATTTAGGCCATCAGAGTGTTCCGTGGCAGCAGAGTAACTCTGATGGTGAGCAGCAGTTCTGTCAACTACTTTAAAAGACAAGGAGCTCCATTCCACTAAATGAAATAGTTGAATCCCACAAGCTTTATTCACAATAAACTATTTATTTTGTCAATTCTGGAATGCCAGAGTCTTCCTGAAAAAGCTTTTGCTTCTTGGGAATGCTGTTTTCAGTGTGCCTGCATGAAGCAGTGGATCTCTCAGAAATCAAGTTGTCCGTAGGTTTTGTGGGACCTCAGCTCTGGTTCCTTCTCCCCCCACAGGCAACTGAGAACCTCCTGCTTTGTCTCAGGCTCGCTGGCAAGACCAGATGGTCCTTCCCATGACAGAGTTCTGTTTGCAGGCCCTTTAAAAGGGCACTAAAGTGACCACAAGATTTATTAGCTGGTAAAAACACACCCCAACATCTGCTTCCATAAGCATGCCCATGGTCACACTACCACCAGGACTGACGACCCTTTGGCCAGGGCAAGACTAAAATATGGTTTTGGGGAGATGATGTTCTTCTGGACACCTCTCTAAAATGTCAGGTCCTCAAATCCAAAGCCTATTTCATAGTTACTGCCTACCCTAAAGGGAAAGATTTTCATACCCAAGATCAGTAACATTCTTACCCTCTGAGCATTCCTTAATCAGTCAGATCTGTTTAAAGAAAACTCACTTCCACAGAAAGTAACGGCATAATCTGTTCTTCTCTATTTTTTTATATCAATATAGGAAAATGAGGTCAATGAGAAAGGCTTATCCCCAACATTAGAGCTTCCATAGTCCATTCTTTACTAGGAATATCCTGGGACTACTTAAAGCTGCTTGAGAAACCCACCTGACTCCTACAGGGGTGGTTACTGCCTTTAGCATAGGCTGAAATTGCTTTTGAAGTTTGGCTAGGCCAGAGCACAGCATGAAGAGAAGCAGAGCAGACAGAAGTATCAGTGGCTGATTCCCAGGAAAGCCTGGGTAGTTATGCATTCATTCCTTGGTACACTCCTGTGCTAAACACTGAGGCTTCTATAGAAACTGCAGTCATGGCAAAATTGTCCCTGTTCCCAGTAGGCTTTATCTCCTGTTTGGCTGACTTATAGTTAAAGATCCATTTTTTTCTAGAGTGTACAGCCAGAAAGCAGAGTAGAGAGGATCTGAGGTACTGATTTCAAAGGTGTGCAAAAGCATTTCTTTGTCAGCAATGGAGTAAAATGACACAGTCTTCTTCTGCAGCTCCAAGAAAACTCCAACCTTCAGTGGTTTGTCCTTGTGCAATAATGTTTCTTGATTCTTATGCCATGCTGACAGCTGTTTTTTAGGACCCAGCCATTCTACACACCAAGAATGCTTAGTCCTTCCCAATTTGTCCATTTTACCAATCATTTCATGAGCAACTCCAACAGCCCATCCATCACTGTCCTTGGTAATTACTTCCCAGTAGTGGCACCCAGTAGAGAAACCCTGTGAACACATGACCTGGCTGATGCAGAATCTTTTGGGTGATGGTTTGTAACTGGTCAGGTGGCTGGAAACCATCACTCTCCTGTTCTGGGCTGGGAGTGCCAAGCGCTCGTGTACTCTTGTGGAGTCAAAAGTCCCATCATCTGCCCCTGGAAGGCAGAAAGGAAAATATTCTCACATGCAGGCAACAAGGAAGCAGTGCATCCCTGCTCCAAAAGAGAAATGAAACCCAGTGATCAACCCATAAACCTGAATCAAAGTTCAAAAATCCTCAGCCAAGCACTATCAACTGTATCCTGGGCACACAGAAATATTTAACAGGCACAACTGTGTAAATATCCATGACAGACTCATATGCACTCCAGTGGAAAGGTGAAAGTACCTTGCACCCTACCAGATGGATTTTATTTCTAGCCACAATCTTTTTTTTTAAATATTACCTTTCTGTCAATAACAAATGGGATGCTTACCTTCATAAAGCTTACAGTCATCTGTTCACTGGGACAAGTTCTTACATATTTTATCAGCAAAAACATTTGTTTGCTGTGTTAAGCTACAGCTGTAGTAGAGTGTGTTGACTGCAAAAATGTTTCTGTCAAAATGTTGCAGAATTTAATTACAACTGCAATAACTACAGCTTAACAGCAAAGATCTGCCTGTACACCAGCTCAGACTCCACAGGCAGCACAAGCTACCACACATCCTACACAAAACACCTTTCTTATCTCTTTTTTATCCTACATCCGCAGTCAGGTACAATGCTACATTATGTGCCAGTAACTGATTCATTCATGGCAACTCCATTGTGTTTCCATGCTTCAGTAAACAGTGACTTTTCCTGCTGATGTTGGCAAGGACAGATTTCTTCTGCAAATCCAGTCTCAGGGTCACCTGGATGTGGTTAAGAATCCTGCTGGCTGGGATACTTACACTGAGAAAACTGGCTGGAAATGGTTGGTTCAGGACTTTCAGCTGCAGGCTCTGGAGGTGATGAGCTGACACTTGGCTCCTGGTCTAAGTCTGGAGGATGCACTAAATACAAAAAAGTGAAGTGTTAAGGCATTTCTTCAAAATGTACATAGGAAGTATTTAAGCTTCTAAAGGAAAACACACCTTAAATAAACCCAGCTACTTGTTCAGGTGCAAAACAAGGAACTGCATTTTTTGATTGCATAAATTACAAAGAACATGTAGGCAAAATTTTAACCCAAAATTAACAAAACACTCTATGCTGGTGTGGTCAGAGGGGAACTGTCAGAAGAGTGAGATGGGTAAAGCAGTTGGATCATTCTATGAAGATAAAGCAGTTTCTGTCTTAAAAATTTTTACAGTGTTCTTTAGTATTTGCTGAGTATTGTGTTTCTTGTTTTATTTGCACAAATTAATTTTTTACTCTATTTGCTAAATCCACTGCCTGTAAGAAAAAGATTTCAAAATAAGGGAAACTCACCTGGTAGGAGATGCTAAGCATAATTCTCCAAGAGTAAAATTTCCAACTTTCTCTTAAGATCTTTGTTAAAGATTTCAATGCAAGTTGTTTTCCATTACCATCTGTATGGCAGATTACCTTTGTCAAGAGGGCAGTTTGCTTTATCTCTCTCTTCCATGACCACATTCACACCTCCCTGGGGAGGGGACACTGCTGATAACAGCTATTGAATGTCTGTTATCACTCAATGACTGATAAGAACTAGAACATCCCATTGGGAGATGTGAGCCCAGAGGGAGGAGCCAAGCATTCCTACCCAGATATAATCCAGAGGTTTTGAGACACCAGCACGGCTTCTCCACAGGATTCCCCAGAGAAACAGCAGCTGCCTCTCCTTCCCCTGGATCTTCAGAGGAAGAACACATCCTTCTCTACAGATCCCTGTTGCTCCAACAGAACCAGCCCTGACACTGCAGGAGGGCTGCACCATTTCCAATGGGACTGCCACCAACACCCTGACCCACAGGGTGTCAGGTTGGGTTCTGACTCTGGCAGTGTTGTTCTAGTGTACTGCATTGTTTATTTTCTCTTTTTTTTTTCTTTTCCCTATTAAAGAACTGTTATTTCCTGCTCCCATATTTTTGCCTGAGAGCCCCTTAATTTAAAATTTACAGCAATTTGGAGGGGTGGGGAGGGTTTACATTCACCATTTCAGGGGAGGCTCCTGCCTTCCTTAGCAGACTCCTGTCTTTCCAAACCAAGACAATCTTCTACAGCACTTTTGACAACATTAAGCTTTTCATCAAGTGTAATTTTATTTATTGTCAAAGGTGAGCCTTCGTGCCTCTGCCTCTCACATAAGTCTCTCTAATAATGAAAAAAGGATCAAGGGAAAGATGTAAACAGCAGTAGTTATTTAATCTCACAGATCAGATTATAATATAAAGCCCAAGTGGAAAAAGAGCAGTGATCTCTCCAAGAATCTTATTATTTGTATCAAAAGTTTCCTTTATAGGACAGTTACCTGAGCAAACCAACCTGAAATCTCATAGAAAATAGTGAAGGATATTCTTATTAAAAAATAAAAAGACTGTGTTTTCTCCAAGAAAACCAAGAATGAAACTAATTTTTCTTTTATACATATATATCACAACTATGAATACACAAAGTTACTCTTTTTACTTCCTTCTTCTTCTTCTTCTAGAACCAAAACCAAAAGTTTGAAAATGTATCAGTGTGAGGAAAGGGTAAACCTAGTTTGCCTAAATTTAGAAATTGTGGAAATCTACATCTGAAGTTGCTCTGTTAGTCTGTGTGTACAGTCTGTAGGAGGAAACAGCCTTTTGGAAGCTGGATTATCTCCTTTGCAGGAGGATATTTCAAGTAGGCCAGATAACACTGAAAGTACCCATTTCTCTTCACTGCCTGTAATGGGACCCTGGATCAGGTGAATTCCAGTGTGGGCACCTGTGCCTGGGTCCTGAAGTCCAATTCTGTCTCGTGGCACTGCCCCACCCAGTCAGCCCCACTCCAAATTCCTGCTGGCTAACTTGCATCACTTGGCACTGCTGTTTTCAACATCAAACCCTGCTCTGCACAATCTGAAGTGCTTTAACTGCACCTTTTGAGGGCCCTTGATGTGTTTTCCACAAGAAAACTGTTACAAAATATTGAATAACTCTGCGAGTTTTTTTAACTTGAGTACCTGTGTGTAAATACAAATTCTGGAAAATAAAAATATTATGAAAGATCTCGACTTTAGATTTGACTGAGGACTGGATTTCAGCCCTGCAGCTCCCACTTCATTCCAGCTCACCAATATCCTTGAAAAAAATCTAGTTCTGAATTCCATTCCCAGCCTGTGCCTCTCTCAGTAATTTTTTTCCTCTGAATTTCTTACTTTCCCTGCTGACAGCAAAGTCCATGGATTGGCACCATTGTCTCTATGAGAATGGTGCAGTAGGGACCTCAAAAGTGCTTTGTACATATTCAGCTATCCCAGACAGTGAGCTTGAGTTTCTACTCATATTCTGCCACTTCATTTCATCACTTACAGTTTGGGCTTTGATGTGTGTGAGCTGGTGAATAGTCTCTTCAATTTTCTGTTGAGCAGCTTTTTGCTGTTGTTCAATGAACATCAGTGTGTTTCTCTCCTGTCTTTCAACATATTCCTTCATGCAACAGAAATCTTTAATAATCTGGCTTTTGATCTGAGATGTATATTCCTGAAAGGCAGAAAATATGGAGATCATTGTGTGGTCAGGAAAGATGCACGGAATATGAGAATTACCACCCCATCCAATGTGCTCTTTGACTGACCCCTGCAGACCAGAAAACTTTATTCAAAGGAATAAAATACATTTGACACTATCCTGCATTACATGCAATGAGATTTTGGGCATGGTAAGGATCATGAATATTTTATGGCCAGTGGAGTCTGCTTGACAACTCAGAAAGTTCAGTATTTCCTCTTATGATTTATAATTTGCATCAAAGTGTACCAGAAACATTCAGGCTATTCCTGGGATAAGAAGAAAAATGCAACAATGCACAATTCCAGTGGCCTTTGTGCCAGCCGAGACACAAATTAGTGCAGCTGATGCCATATATTCATTCTCATCAGTAAAAACAAAATTGTGACAGAAAAGAAGGAAACAAAAAGGCAGATTCCAGCTCTGAGCTGGAAGGCAACCCTGCAGTCAACCACATCACCAGCCCAGAACAATGGAAAGTTACTGTAGGTGATGATTGTACAATGTGTACCTTGTTTTATTGAGATCTTTCTTCAACAGGTGAATGGTCTCTGCAGCTATTTCTTGTTGCTTGGAGCTCTCCCATATCTCTTCCTCCTTTCAGGCGACACATTGGACTATTTATCTATATAAACCTCAGAGAAAGCATAACTAAGCTGCAGGATAATAAAAATTCCCTACATGACTGACATTAATTAAGCAACGGACTTAATTTTTTGTTTGAGGAGGTGCCTGAAAGACACAATTCTGAGTAGGAATAATCACAATGAAGTCAACATCAACAGTCACCAATTAATTAGATGTTCAACTATAATTGTGAGCTTTGATACGGTCTAAGCTTGACTGAAAAAGATATATATGTGCTAAAATAATGAAGGTCAACACATTTTTCTCATCTCCTCCTCTGGGAGTCGTTTTAAGCAAAGACCTAGATCATGAATCTGTCCCATTTTGTGCCAGGAAGCTGGGTGGAGCTGTAGCACTGTCTAATAATGTTATGTGTCCTTTCAGCAGCCTCCAATGCAATGCAATAAGTAACACCCAGCACAAAGAAGTCACTTACAACTTCTGTGCATCGGCAGAATATGTACAGGTAATAGATCTTCTAATTGAGCTATGCAGCTCTCAATGTGTCAGCACCACTGAGCCCCAAACACTGTGAGCCGAACCCTTGTGCTCAGTGTGTTACTGCGCCGTGGGATGGGAACCGGGGCTGCCCCGAGCGCCGCTGGGCGCTGCCGCAGAATGCGACGGGCAGGACTCCCTGGGAGTCGGGGGATGCCGCCGGGGGGTGTCCCGAGGGAGTCGGGGGATGTCACCCCGGGATGTAATCCCGGAATGTCCCGGGGTGTCGCGGAGGAGCCCCAGGATGTCGGGGGTGAAGCTCCCGGCGTCGGGGAGCCCCGCGCTGCCTCCGGCCGTACCTTCTCCCCACGTCCCCGCCCCGCCGAGCTCAGGCCGTTGCAGGTAGCAGCTCCATGGGCTCCTCCTGTGTTTCCGACTCTTCCTCCAGCTCCCGCGGGATGAGGCTGAGCAGCGCGGCCAGCTCGTGCTGAGGCCCGCGCAGTACCGGAGGATGCAGCCCCGGCAGAAGCTGTGGCCGCAGCCCGGGAGCCTTACGGGCTCCGCGAAGAGCTGCAGGCAGCAGGAGCACGGCGGCTCCAGCCCCTCCAGCTCCGTGACGGCGGCCATGGCCCGGCCCGGGGCGGAGCGCGGCGGCCGCGCAGTTTCGGTTCTCCCGGGCCCCTCCTCCGGTGCCGAGAGCGGCCGGGGCGCGGCGGTTCTGCCCCGCTCTGCTGTGCCCCGCTCTGCTTTGCTTTGCTCTGTTCTCCTCTGCTCTTCTCACGTGCCTTGCTCGCACATTTTGGGCTGCCTGTGGAAATGGACTGTGACGCAGAACTCTCTAGAGCCTGGCCTTCACTTTCATTGACTGTCCAAAAAAAGTCCCCGTTATCTGCACTATTTCATTTCCGCCGTGAATTTCCCGATTTTGCAATAGTGAGAGTTGCTGACATGGGCAGTCTGGTGACCCAGCCAGGAGAGCAGTGGCACAGCACAGAACAGTGCAGACCTTGTCTGACTGAAGTCCAGGCTACTGGAGGGACCAAACCCTTCTGAGGTCATCCCTAGCTACTCAGGTCATCTCAAAATAACAATTAAGACTGGCATTGTCCCTTGTACAACTCAAAAGCTGCTCTCTGTTGATTTCAGGAGCTGCAAGATTAGGCTGTTTAATAGAATTGCTGAACCACCATGTGAGCTAGAACAAATGGGGTTGTGTGGGGACAGAGCCTGGAACACAGGGAAGTTCATGGGAGCATACCAATACATAAAACTGCTGCACATTACTCAGAGCTGGGCAATGAGCTGGCGGAGAAAGGCAGAAGGATGAACCAACTCAAACAATTTCTTTGCATTATTGGGTGAGTGGGGCTGAGGAGAAAGAATTAGTGTCACTAATTCCTGCAAATATTGGCACTTCTCATTTCTGTAAAAAAAGAACTATTTAGAGTATCTCAAGACCAGCTGGCAAGTGTCAGCAGAAGGTGGAAGCCTCACCAGAAACTTGGTCTGCAAGACTTCCTCTTGATTTGCAAAATAAGGCTATCTGTAAGGAAGAATTAAATGTGTGAATTACTTGCTGCTTGGTAGAACCAGATCTCAGACTTTGTTTTGAGGCATGGAACACTGAGTGCTCTGTGTCAGCCAGAGCAATCTCCACCAGCTCCTGCACACAATGGTACCTGATGAGAAGGCTCCCCTCCAACACTGAACACCAGTCCTCATTCACGGAGTGTTTGCAAGCAAGTCACTGAAGAAAATACTTTTAAAACTTGCTTCTGCCTTTCAATGTTCAGTTTAATCAAGCTCATTAAGCTTCATCTGTTCCTGGGTGAGCCAGATCAATGTATGTTCATCCTTTACTCTCAACACATTCACTGGGACATCGTGTGGGGTTGTGCTTTGGAAAAAAATCACTGGATGTAGGATTTGCCACTCACATAAAAGCCAAACAGTACAGACTGTTGAAAGCAAGGAGCTAGAAGAATCTGTGTGATTCCATTACAGGACTGGTTCCATTACAGTATCCTCCACAACTTAAACTTGGCTTGTTTTTTTATTGTGCTAGAAATGTAGTGCTGTAAGAAACATTCATCCCACTCTGCTGAAAACAACCCTGTTCCTGTGTGGGCAGAAGCTGCAGCTAGGTGGAATGCAGCTGCCTGCCTGCTCCTCCCTGTGGACATCAGAGTTGGGTGATGACTCCACTCAAGGCATCCATCCACTCCCTCTGCTGCCTGTCATTGTCACAGATAAACACAAACTCTCTCACTGGTGTGACCAGAGTGATCACTGGCTTCTTCTTCTTCACCCAGACTTTCTGGGGCAAATCATCTCGTACTTCATATCCCTCATCCTTCCTTCCGATGAAAACCTGGCCCTGTGCAAATGCATCCTGGAAGAAGGAGGCAGAAGAGAGCCATTAGCCAGCAGACAGTGGAGCTCCAGCAGACACTGCCCTGTCCTTTGACATGGAACAGGATCTGGGCATGCATGCAGGGGATCTGATGACACGGACTGGTGACACCAGGAGGGAACACACAAAGGGGCATTTTGCACTCACAGGCATTCTAAGGAGGAGAAGGCAGGGTCCCACCCTCACAGAGCTGGTTGGTGGATGTTCAGAAGGGGCAGGGAAGGACATTCCCATGGCTAAAGCAGGACATTGGGGCTGTCAACTGGAATATTGCTCATCTTGGCTAAGGTTACAGGCACAGAGGCACTAGGGCTGGGGGAGATGGGGCATGAACCAGAGGCAGTAGCAGTTACTTTTAAAAGACCTTTCTCACAGCCACTGTACAGGCCAGAGTTCCCAACCAGCTCAGCTTCAGAGACATCCTTTGGCAAGGGAGATGGGCTCTTGGGGCTGGGCCTGCTCCAGTCTGGCAGAGCCACTGGAAAAGGTGGATGAGAACAGACCCTCCCTCCCCACCTGCTTCATGAAGGGGCTGTGGAACAAAGAACACTCCTCTTACCAGTGGATTTTTAAAGTATAGCAGGTTCCTTTCCTGAGAATCCAAGCAGAACCAGCGTACCTTAAAGGCCTCCTTCTGCTGCAAGGAAATGGTAGAAATTCTTTAAAGATCCAAGCCTCAAAGCAGACTTTGGTCTATTCAAATCCCAGGACCACTTAAATGACTGGAGCTGGAGTTCAGTTTCCTTCATCCCTGCAACTGATAACAGGACTGCTGTGTGCAGCCCTCAGCTCTCTCTTCTCCCTGGGCTCAAAATACAGATTTACATTCAATGACAATCCTTTGGGCAGGGATGTAGTCAAATTAACAGGATTAAGGAAGTTGCGTGAAATGGATTGAAAGCACTACAGAGAACAACCCCTGAGGGGTGATAGTGAAGACAGTGAGCAATCAATTTCAACAATCTGATCAAGGAGGTTGTCCCTGGAATTTTGGGTGTACAACACTAGTTGGGTTTTTTTAGGTGCTAATTCCATCAGCTACACTTACCTGACCATTCCTGAGCTATTAATTGCTCCAGGCTGAACTGAAGAGGCCTCTTCTAGGACTCAACTCAGTTTAAGCAGAATTTAGGCCTCAGGAGAAAAACACAAAATCTTTCATCCTCTGTGCAAATACCTGCAGAAGAGGTGTTGGAACACTGGCACCAAAGCTGGGCCAAACCCCAGCATATTCAGTATCAGCACTGCACTGCTGCACTTTATAATGGGACTTGGCTCATGGTTCACTCAGAGGAGAGCAAGGCAAGAAGTGGCTGTGTTCAAACAAGACCTCAGATCTTTATCTCCTCCTTAGCAGTGCCCAAAACCCTGCTCTTCTGTTCCAAGAGTACTGATCCAAACACTTCCCACAATAAAACAAACCAAATTATTGGCTTCACTGTAGAGAAATTTGCTCAAATGACACTTTGCTGCTCTAAGTAGATGTGACTTAAGTGCAATGGACTCTTAAATGAAACAGAGAAGTAGGGGAGGTCAGCACATCATGTTCTGCTGTAGCAGGAGCTGCAGTTAGCAGACATAACAATCCATGGTGTTGTGTAATAGCACTTTGCATGTCCATTGTCAGCTAATCCACCCTGCTTACTCCTCAAGGATTCTTCTCCCCAATGTTATTTTCCACACAAAATAAAACAAGGTCCCAAAGAACATGACAGGTTTGAATATGGTGTCTTTTATCAACCCAGGAAGCAGAGAGTCACTGAGCAAGTAATTTACAAGTCAGGATCATTGAACTACCAAATATTCTCTACCTAGAATGATCATGTTTGTGTAATGCCAAATATGCACTTACTTTTGGTCCTGTTTTCTCCATATATCCTTCTTTGACAAAACTTCTTGTGATCCTGGGTATGAGCTAGGAGAACACAAACACAAAAAAAGTCTGTGTCTGTCCCAAGCAAAACTAGGGCAGGCCGTCTCATTCAAGATTGCATTTCTGCTCTGTTTTTGTGAAAGTTAATCACCATCAATTGTGGCTTTTGGGGTCTGGGATTTTTTTGGCTGCTTGGTAAAGGGAAGTCTGAAGTAAGAAGGAACATAACATTTTTGACAGATTACACTGTGTAAGAATCACATGGAGACTTTAAGGCCTTCAATGCTAACCAAGTTTTTGCATGTTATTCAGTGTGGCTTTTCCTTCTACCTCTTCTGTCCATTCCCTGGACCCAAATGCTGCTTTTTAAGCACCTGACTCTGTCAGAAGAAGTGAGAAAATGTCTTCCCATGCTATATTTGGCTAGACTGCTTCAAGCCCTGTTGAGTTCTCACCTCTAGCTCAGGGACATTTGGGAAGGTTGTTCTGAGATAATGGTAACGTGCTGCCCGAATAGCATTGAACCAGTCAACAATCTCCTGGGAAAACACCAAACACAGACACAAAGATCAACAAGAAGAGTAAGAGTCCTGCTTCTCCAGAATGCCTCTCTCCTTCCTTGTGACCTCTTTATAAAGAGGTACTTTCTCCCCAAGGGGCAGAGAGAGTCAGTGATTTGTCCCAGACACCTGAAAAACATTGACCCTTGAAAATAATTTAAGAATGCCTCTCCTGGGAGGTCCAAGACATTCTCAGCATGGACAGTCACCCAGGTCTGTATACACAGGCTTTTTCAGTTGATTCAGCTATGGGTTGTTTAAAAACCTCTACCTGGAAAGACACAAGAACTCTGGTGAAGGAAGAAACAGAAGTCTAACAATATCTACAGATACTTTTCAAAGTTATCATTGTTGGCTCGGAAATAATGTAGAACAAATTTCTCTATGCGTGCCAAGAATTTAACCATGAAATTGTGTAAAACCATGAGGCAGTTACCTTACAGAGATTTACATCCATGCACCACTTCAGACTATCCAAAGGGTGAGCTTGAATATATGCCCCAACAGAAAAGGAGCAGGATGCTACAGTGAGGAGTATCAAATTCTGCAACTTGCTATATTGTACAAGTCTTAGTGATGCCAACTAAAACCGGACGTAGCAGACACAGTAACTCTTCCAAAATAAAGATCCAACATCTAAGCACCTGCTTACTCCAGAATCTCCATTATATTCACCTTTCCACTTTCGTGATAGACAAAAAGGTTCCTTGTTTGACCATCTGTGATGTATGTGATCTGCAGCCCATGATTGTGTCCTATTTTCTCCACCTGGAACATTGCA